CCTCAAGTTTCATCCCCTAATGTACACAACCTTGTATAATCCCCTTCCCTTGAGTGTGGGCAGGATGTGTGAATATGATGGGATATCACGTCTGTGATTATGTTACATTATATGGTAAAAGTGAAGGAATTTTGCAGGTGTAACATTATATGGTAAAAGTGAAGGAATTTTGCAGGTGTAATTAAGGTTCCTAATCAGTTGACTCAGGATTAATCAAAGGGAGATTATCCTTGGCAGGCCTGATCTAATTAGGTGAGCCCCTTAAAAGAGAATCCAGAGGTGAGAGACAAAAGAAGTTAGAGACTCTTTTGTCTGCTGCCCTTGAAAAGTAAGGTGCCAAGTTCTACAACTGCAAGAAAATGAATTTTGCAATCACATGAGTTTGGAAGAGGACACTGAACCTCAGATTAGCCTATAACCATGGCCAACCCCTTGATTATAGCCTTGTGAGACTCTGAGCAGAGTACCCAGCTCAGCTGTGTCTGGAGTCCTGACCCACAGAAATGGAGAGATAATAAATAAGTGTTGTCTTAAGCCACTAAATGCTAATGAGTCATTTCTATTCTCTGGTGCCTTCATCTCTCTCTCTCTCACTCTCCCCACCCTGCCAGCTCTTTATTATGAGAAATTACACAAGATCAAGTCTTTTCTATTTTACAAAGCTATCCATAATCTCATGTCTTCCTGTAGTTACTGGTCTGTCCTTCACATCATAGCCAAATATCTTGAAAGAGTGGTGTGTTATACAGAAATGAAATACAGTTTACAGATGGGATTTAATCAGGATAGGAGTTTTTCTTTCATTTGGCAAAAAGTCTGAAGGCAAGAAGTCCAGGGTTGTGGCAGCAACTTAAAGGATGTTATCAATGTTCCAGGCTGTTTCTTTCTACAGCTTAGTGTGTGGCTGTCGTGGTTGCTTTTATGACTCCCCAAGTCATTTCAACTGTATTTCAGGCACGTAGGAAGGGGAAAGGAAAGGGGCAAAAAGGGCAGGTGCTAGCAGAGACACTCTCCCCTTTAAGGAGCTGTCTCAGACACCCACTCAATGGGTGACCTGTTTATATCTCACATATAGAACTGCATAACATGGCCACACCACCCCTACGGGACTTTGGGAAAGGTGTTTTTTTTTTTTTTTAAAGATGACCAGTAAGGGAATCTTAACCCTTGGCTTGGTGTTGTCAG